ATAATTCGCTAAATTAATAGAATTTCCCTAGTCCCGACTGTATAAATTATAGAGGTTTAACTGTAATTAAATAGTGAATATACAATAAATACAATTCAATCGAATCCAAATTAATCTGATCTGTGTAACCGAACAATGCCTAAACATATTATATAATTAATTTATCAAGCACTAACAATAAAACCAACATTAAAAAAATAAAAAAATATTTACGCTCTAAGAGTCGGGTGAATAATAACTTACGCATCATCCATGAACTTTGCTGCCACCATAACACTGGTAATAAGAAGTCGGTGTACGTTGAGCGAAGTCAAGCGTAAATTCGTCCGTTGAATAAATCTATCGACATATATATGTGCAATAATAAAGCATGAAGGGCTGCAGCACGAGTATTTAAATATCCGATCTATGTATTGTTGAATGGTAAGAGAAGGTGCTCTTAAACCGTAGAATATGCTGCTGCTGACGTCATCATCTTTCGCTAGTGAAGTTTCTAGATTCCTTTCACATGTTTGAATAGATCTTTCTAGAAATGTCGAAACGAGTGATAAAACTCGGGGCTTTCCAATATAGTCCTTGATGGGGTCCTTAAGCCCTAATGATATGTAATCGAGTGAGCCTATAATCTCTTTTTCGAGCGCCAAAGATCCCATTTTTCAAGTGCATCACTCGGTTTTTGAATTTCGGAGATTTTTTTTTCGATTCTGCAAAAGATTGATAAAAAAATGGTAATCAATAAGAAACTCTAAAATGAATTAATTAAAAAAAAAACCCGTTTTGGCAAAGTTAGGTCTAAGAGACAGTTGAAGCAGCAAACAAAACAGAACAAACCTAACTTCTCCAATGAGTAAAACTACTGATTTTGGATAGATTCTCGTTACGTTGTCGTTAAATAAATGGAAAACGCACAAACACTTTTTTCACGGATAAATTAAATAAAACCGAGCAAGAGTTGAAATTTTCGACCTAATAGACACCATCGGTAATGGATAAGTGAAATTTTGCATTCATTTTCACAAGGTTGTTTCAAAATCAAGATACTTAAGAACACAAGATCCGATTGTCGAATTGTCATAAAATCCCAAAAAATCTCGGAACCCGGTCGAAGAAATGTTTCAAAACGCAAGACAATCAGTGGGATAGTCGGTTATCTTGGGTGCATTTTGGTTACAAAGTCAATACTTACTAACTACACATTGTAAGTTCAATAAATTGCCATAGATATCTACACTTCGTTCGAGAAATCGAATT